CTATATAGTGCACTACTTTTGACCAGGGTCCATAGGGGTCTGGTCAAAAGTAGTTCAATGTGTAGGGAATAGGGTGTCATTTGGGATGCAGGCTGTGTCATAATTGACCACAGAATGTTTGGATTTGTTGAACTTTGAACTGAACTTCATGAAATAAGTTTGACATATGAAAGGCCATTGTTGGCACACATACAGTGGGCTCCAAAATTACTGGCACCCCTGACTGGCAATGCACAAACAATACTTTAAAAAAATAAACAAATTATAGAGAGAAACTCAAAATAACAACATGTGAGAAATACTGTACTATATTAATGTTCCAATGGAACCCACCAAAATCATTTTATTGATTTAATAAAAAATCTGTGTCCTCCAAATCAAGGTTTCACAATAAATGGTGCCCTTCAAGATTATTGTAAATAACATCTACCAAAATTAAACCAGGAATTAAATTCCACTTATTTAAGTTTATCTAAGTCTTAAGGAACTATATTGAGCCATTACATCACTTTATGTTTCACTAGGGTATAAAAATGAGGTAACATGCATGCAATATCCCTTTGTCATCCAACACAATGAAGAAAACAAAAGAACTGGCAGGTCAAATGAGACAGATTTACATTTACGTCATTTAGCAGACGCTCTTATCCAGAGCGACTTACAAATTGGTCCATTCACCTTATAGCCAGTGGGATAACCACTTTACAATATGTTTTTTGGGGGTAAGGGGGGGTAGAAGGATTACTTTATCCTATCCCAGGTATTCCTTAAAGAGGTGGGGTTTCAAGTGTCTCCGGATGGTGGTGAGTGACTCCGCTGTCCTAGCGTCGTGAGGGAGTTTGTTCCACCATTGGGGTGCCAGAGCAGCGAACAGTTTTGACTGGGCTGAGCGGGAACTGTGCTTCCGCAGAGATAGGGGGGCCAGCAGGCCAGATGTGGATGAACGCAATGCCCTCGTTTGGGTGTAGGGACTGATCAGAGCCTGAAGGTACGGAGGTGCCGTTCCCCTCACAGCTCTGTAGGCAAGCACCATGGTCTTGTAGCAGATGCGAGCTTCAATTGGAAGCCAGTGGAGTGTGCGGAGGAGCGGGGTGACGTGGGAGAACTTGGGAAGGTTGAACACCAGACGGGCTGCGGCATTCTGGATGAGTTGTAGGGGTTTAATGGCACAGGCAGGGAGCCCAGCCAACAGCGAGTTGCAGTAATCCAGACGGGAGATGACAAGTGCCTGGATTAGGACCTGTGCCGCTTCCTGTGTAAGGCAGGGTCGTACTCTCCGAATGTTGTAGAGCATGAACCTACAGGATCGGGTCACCGCCTTGATGTTAGCGGAGAACGACAGGGTGTTGTCCAGGGTCACGCCAAGGCTCTTCGCACTCTGGGAGGAGGACACAACGGAGTTGTCAACCGTGATGGCGAGATCATGGAACGGGCAGTCCTTCCCCGGGAGGAAGAGCAGCGCCGTCTTGCCGAGGTTCAGCTTGAGGTGGTGATCCGTCATCCACACTGATATGTCTGCCAGACATGCAGAGATGCGATTCGCCACCTGGTTATCAGAAGGGGGAAAGGAGAAGATTAGTGGTCGTAGACCTTCATAAATCTGGTAATGGCTACAAGAAGAGCCACAAATGATTGAATATACCACTGAGCACTGTCAGGGCAATTATACAATTTTTTATTTATAAGATATGGAACAGTTGAAAACCTAATCGGTAGAGGACGCAAATGCATTTTGCCCCCCATGATAGGGAGGAGGATGGTGAGAGAAGCAACAAAATCCTGAAGAATCACTGTGAAAGAATTGCAGGCCTTGGTGGCGTCTTGGGGTCACCAGGTTTCAAAAAACACCATCAGACGCCACCTCCACAACCACAGGTTCTTTGGAAGGGTTGCCAGAAGAAAGCCCTTTCTAACCCCAAGACACAGACGCAAGCGCTTGGAGTTTGCCAAACGTCATTTAAATTATGACTGGAAGAAGGTGCTCTGGTCAGATGAGACCAAAATTGAACGTTTTGGTCAGATACAGCATCGGCATGTTTGGCGTCGAAACAGAGATGCATACAAGGAGAGGCACCTCATACCCACGGTGAAATATGGTGGTCAGTAATGTTTTGGGGCTGTTTTAATTCCAGAGGTCCAGGGACACTGGTTAAGATTGATGGCATAATGAATTCCACTAAGTATCAGTCAATTTTGGCTGACAATCTGGTTGCCTCTGCCAGAAGGCTGGGACTTGGCCGTAGGTGGACTTTCCAACAAGACAATGACCCAAAACATACCTCAAGATCCACACAGAAATGGTTCTGTGACAACAAAATCAATGTTATGTCATGGCCATCTCAGTCGCCGGACCTCAATCCAATCGAAAATCTGTGGGCTGAGTTGAAGAGGGCAGTTGATAAGCACAAACCCAAGAATGTGAAGGATCTTGAAAGAATCTGTGAAGAGGAATGGTCCAAAATCCCTCCAAATGTATTCCTTAACCTTGTCAAACATTACAGGAAAAGACTCCATGTTGTTATCCTTGCTAGAGGTGGTTGCACTAAGTACTAAATGAGGAGTGGCAATAATTATGAAACCTTGATTTTGGTGAAATTAATTTTTTATTAAATAATTGTATGGTTTTGGTTGGTTCCATTGAAACATTAATAAAGTACAGTATTTCTCATGTTGGTATTTTGAGTTTATATCTATAATTATATTGTTTATATTTTTTTAAAGTATTGTTTGTGCGTTGCCAGTCATTTTGGAGCCCACTGTATAGCATGCCTATTTTTCCACAAGAAGTAGCCTATATTTTCTTTTTTTAACCTTTTATTTGTAGGTTAAGATTGACCTATAGTAAGATTCGAGACTGTGGTAGACCCATTTTGAGTAGCCATTTTGACACTGCTTTAAAAAACATCATATTAGTGCTACTGTGCTATGTTTCTTTTAAAAGGTCATAACCGATAGATGGGAAAGAAGGACAACAACATAGTATTTTGTCCCTAGAGGCAAGATCCTTGAGAAGCTAGACAGATCATTTTATTTGCCGATAAAACATCATTTGTATTTTTTGCTTTCAAGTTAACCAACACACACACACACACACATAAACCAAGTGGTTGGAAGAACTATTAAATAACTTATGTAGGCCTACACTCTCCTAAGTTGTAAGTTTAGCTCAGGATGTTCTTTCAGGATGTTTGCTCCTATGAGGACTTAACACAGTTTACATGTTAAACTACCTGTTGGCTAAGTGGAGTTCTTACTAACAAGTGCTTTGTTTTGTGTCGGCACTCAGGAGTTGATGCTTGGGTCGTGTTCATTATGGCTCACCGTAGCATTTTATTTTGCAACGGAACACTGAAACAAATGTTTCTTAATGGACAAGTTCATAAATATTTTTATTCCCACATGCATCGGATAGGTGCAGTGAAATGTGTTGTTTTACAGGGTCAGCCAGAGTAGTACAAATTACTAGGTGGAACAAATTAGGGTTAAGTGCCTCGCTCAAGGACACAATACAGATTTTCCACCTTGTTAGCTCGGGTATTCGAACCAGCAACCTTTCAATTACTGGCCCAACGCTCTAACCACTAAGCTACCTTGCGCCTATATTCAGTTAGGACCTCTCTGCTTCACTCAGTTTCAGAGCATTTCCATTCGTGCCTACTGAACACGACCCTGGTGTGTGTTTGTATCCAACAGTGCGGTTTCTTTGTCTATCTTTGTTGCTGTTCAGCAGCTTGGGTGTTTGGGACGTGGTGGCCGTCACATCACGATGGACGGACGGGCGGACAGATGATGGGTCACATTTGGCCCATGATGTGGGAACTGAGACATCCGTAGTTCTGTTGAAAGGGGTTAGGGGTTCAGGGGGGAGAGGGGCTGATGTGTGTAGGGGGGTGCAGACTGGGACCTAAATGTAGATATCCTCTTTACAACATGTTTGGTCTTGAGGGAGTTTGATGTTAATAGGCAAGATAACAGCAGACTAGTGTTTATTCTGAACAAGCTGGAGCAGCAGAGACGTGCTGTGGTGTAGGATACAGACTCACACACAGACATAGACACACAGTTTTGTAGCACGCTCACAAACACTCACACTGAACTCCAGCTGTTCTGTTCTCTGTGTCCTTGACTTCCAGCTCCAGCCCAGGTGTTTGCCATGGTCATTGTTGCTAAGCTAACGTTTCCCGTCTAGTCTCTCTGTGCTGTGCTTGGTTTGGCTGCCTTTCAGACAGGGAAAGGAAAGAGTCCGTACTCCGTACAGCAGTCCACTATTGTTCTGCAGTATCAGCATTTAAAAATATTTATAAGGAGTTAAGGACTGCAGACGACAGCTTCAAAAGGCCTGGCCTAGCACACCCTGATATGTAATATCTAGTTTCTTAGCTCCAGGTAAGGGTTATGTCCCAAATGGCACCCTATTCCCTACATAGTGCATTATTTTGACCAGGGCCCATAGAGCTCTGGTCAAAAGTGCATTATTTTGACCAGGGCCCATAGAGCTCTGGTCAAAAGTAGTGCACTATGTAGGGAATAGGGTGGCATTTGGGATGCATACAAGGCGTTGTTAGTCAGTTTGAGTGTCTGATCCAGTGGATAGGCCTATAAGTGCAAAGAGTGATTATCAACACAGCTGCTATAATAAAGCGACCACTCACGTTACACTAATCTCTCTCTTTCCTTCTTTCTCACACACTTGTTTATCCAACATCTTGTCTGCATATGAGACTCTGCATCTGTGTATTTTTCGGCTCTTCTTTTCAGTGGGACAGGAAGAACAGGTGTGTGTGTGTGTGTGTGTGTGTCTCTCTCTCTCTCTCTCTCTCTCTGTTGTGTGTGTGTGTGTGTGAGAGAGTCAGAGGGCGAGACAGATGGACCCTATGGACAGGACACCACTGTCTGGGCAGGCCAAGTAGGAACGGAAGGGCGGGAGGGGGGGGGGAGGGAGGGAGGGCCGGGCGGGTCGGGAGGGGAGTGGAGGGAGGAGGGCAGGGCGGGAGGGCGGTATGGGCGGGAGGGGAGGGGGGGGCGGGCGGGCGGAGGGAGGGAGGGAGGGAGGGAAGGTGGAGGGAGGGAGGGAGGGAGGGGGGGGAGGGAGGGAGGGAGGGAGGGAGGGGAGGGAGGGAGGGCGGGAGGGAGGGAGGAGGGAGGGAGGGTGAGGGAGGGAGGGAGGGAGGGAGGGAGGGAGGGAGGGAGGGAGGAGGGATGGAGGGAGGCGTTAGGGAGGTGCGGAGGCTAGGGAGGGAGTGGTGGGGGTGGTGGCGGTGAGGCGGGCGTAGGGAGGGATGGGAGGTCGGGAGGCGGATGTGAGTATTCTTTTCGTTTCTTTCTTGTCTTTTCTTTATTTTCTTCTTTCTTTCTTCTTTCTGTCTTTATTTCTTCTTTCTTTCTTCGTTCTTCTTTCTTTCTTTCTTTCTTCTTTCTTTCTTTCTTTCTTTCTTTCTTAAAGCTATTGTTTATTGTATTTTGACCCTTTTTAGATTCCCACACATCTATAGCTAGCCGTCGCTGCCATTGGTTTGTTTGGAAAGCAGAGTGGTCCTCTGTGTTTAGTCACATTCCTTATTTCCGATGATTACTCTGGAAATAGAAGTAACCTAATAATAGCCTCCTTCATTCGTCCATCGAGGTTTGGCTTCTATACTCCAGTGAGATAATAACTCCATCCATCCCTCCCTCTGTCTATCTCTCTATCCCTCCCTTCAGAAAAGAGCTGATCCACAACAGGAAACGACTCGTAATCTTTTAACTAAACAGACATTTCCTGCTCCAGTTGTTGTCAGTTGGACTTCTAGCTCTCCGTAGCTTCTTTCTGTACTCATCCATCCATCCTTACTGCCTGCCCTCTGTCCCATATCTCTGCCTGGCTGGGTAGGCACTACTTTTAAGTGACATTTCAGACTGCTTTGGAAGTATTCTTAGGATTCTTAGGATAATAATTCTGGAGGAAGGAGGAATCCCCACCAGGTATTATTAGTGTCTCGTTTCATGCAGATTGTTTTGTTGTCTTGCTTCTTGTTCTTGCAGAGGTTACCACATTTATTTGTTTGGTGTTCTGGTCATAATTCGTTTAGCCATCTAAGTTATGTAAAGAAACAAATTGTGTGTAATCTTGTTAGGAAAATAACAAGTTGTTATATAATACAAAGTTAATTCAGTTATTGGATTATTGGTTATCATGCAGTATGATGTTATATTTCAGGCCCTGCCAGGTTTGCAGAGCTTTCCTTCTAGAATTAAATGATGTGTGTCTGTGTGTTTGCTTGGAGTGACTGTCTGTGCCTGCACATGTCTGTGTTTGTGTGCACCCTCCCAGTGTGGTGTGATGTAACGTAGCACATTTAGAGAACCGTACTAAACAATGTACTCAACTAATCATAAATTACTAAAGAGGAGGCTTGGCTTCCATTTAGTCTCATGACACCCCTCCTCTCCACTGCAGGTGACTTGCCCATCGCTGTAGCAACCCAGCCTGTGGAGAAGAGGAGGAGTGGATCCAGGAGAGGACCATGGAGCAGTGTGAGACTTCTGCGAGCCCCAGCAGAGATCACCCATGGAAGGCAGCGACCATGAAGAGGATGGCCTGGGCCCAGAGCAGAGACTCCTGGCAGGGCCCCTCTGAGAGCCAGGACACCCAGGATCAGGAGGGTTGCAGCGAGGAGACGGTGTCCCCAGAGCCCACCATGGAGGAGAAGACGGCCCCGGCCGAGGAGCCAGGTACGTTGGGAAGAGCTACAGAGGGAGCAGCAGGCAGAAATAATGATTGTTTGGGTTTTTGATGGCTTGATAAACAGCTGCATGGAAGTCATGATAAAACAATAAGCCTACTTTAAGGTCTTATTGCTCTATTATTAACTAGCCCAAAAAGGAATTAAATCCTGCAACAGCAAACCGTTTATTTAGATTTTTGAATCCAGTTGTAATGGTTATGGACATTGTAGAATAGTTATAGGCATTGTACATGGCTTTGAATTGCTCTGTTTTTTTTCACTCAGGGCGCTTCCCTAACAAGATTGCGAGCTGGCTCAAGGACTGCAGGTGTAGTAATGTTGTGTTATAATGAAACCTCTACATTGACATGTAAATTAACATTAGGGCACACAATGGACAACGTTGTAAAATGTTGTGCAACAGAAAGCGAAAATGAGTGTTTCTTAATGGACAAGTCAAGGTAGTCCCTCTCTCTCGTCTTTTGGAGTGGGAGGGCTTGCACAATTGGTGGCTGACTAGATACTTTTTTTCCCCACTGTATCTTCTGCTTGGATAGTTCAATCTGTGCCACTGACTTAATCTGGCTTTAATTCCAGTTTGTCTACAAAGTGAGAGGCCTTGTCCCGTGCAGCTCAGTTTGTAGAGCATGGCGTTTGCAACGCCAGGGTTGTGGGTTCGATTCCAACGGGGGGCCAGTGTGAAAATAAAATAAAATGTATGCACTCACTAACTGTAAGTCGCTCTGGATAAGAGCGTCTGCTAAATGACAAAAAAGTAAAAGTAAAAGTTTGTTTCAATCCGTTTTCTTCAGTTTGATGTCTAATGAACACGTAAGACAGGGCCCTGGTAAAGCCCTTAATAGTGACAAAGAAAGAGCAGCATGACAACCATGTATTGTGTTTCCTTGTATTTGTAAACTATTGTGGTCCAGCTCTCTCCTTGTCAGACATGTTATATTTGCTTTGTGAAAGGCGTGTGCTTTATGCTGCTATCTATGTCTTTGGGAAGTGTTTCCGTTAGTCCAGGGCCTATGTTATCAGCAACTGGTCTGGTCTCGCTGTACTTTACTGCACAAGCTGATTAAACAAACATTACCTTGGAACTTAGAATCTGTTTATCGAGTCATATTCTAGATGGTTAAAAATGTACGTGAGCAAGACTGAGTGAAAGAGCAAACAGAAAGTCGCATGATGTTGATCATGAGTGTTTTACACAATGTCAATAATAATGTCCTTTTATGAAATCTTCATGTCATATGGCAGGCGCTGGTATACAGTGGCTTGCGAAAGTATTCACCCCCTTGGCATTTTTCCTATTTTGTTGTCTTACAACCTGGAATTAAAATAGATTTTTTGGGGGGGGTTGTATCATTTGATTTACACAACATGCCTACCACTTTGAAGATGCAAAATATTTTAAGGGGTGAAACAAACAAGAAATATGACAAAAAAACAGAACTTGAGCGTGCATAACTATTCACCCCCCCCCCCCCCCCCCCCCCCAAAGTAAATACTTTGTAGAGCCACCTTTTGCAGCAATTACAGCTGCAAGTCTCTTGGGGTATGTCTCTATAAGCTTGGCACATCTAGCCACTGGGATATTTGCCCATTCTTCAAAGCAAAACTGCTCCAGCTCCTTCAAATTGGATGGGTTCCACTGGTGTACAGCAATCTTTAAGTCAAACCACAGATTCTCAATTGGATTGAGGTCTGGCCTTTGACTAGGCCATTCCAAGACATTTAAATGTTTCCCCTTAAACCGCTCAAATGTTGCTTTAGCAGTATGCTTAGGGTCATTGTCCTGCTGGAAGGTGAACTTCCATCCCAGTCTCAAATCTCTGGAAGACTGAAACAGGTTTCCCTCAAGAATTTCCCTGTATTTAGCGCCATCCAGGTGTTGGGTTTGCGCCCGACATAGTGTTTTTCTTGATGGCCAAAAAGCTCAATTTTAGTCTCATCTGACCAGAGTACCTTCTTCCATGTGTTTGGGGAGTCTCCCACATGCCTTTTGGCGAACACCAAACGTGTTTGCTTATTTTTTCTTTAAGCAATGGATTTTTTCTGGCCACTCTTCCGTAAAGCCCAGCTCTGTGGAGTGTACGGCTTAAAGTGGTCCTATGGACAGATACTCCAATCTCCACTGTGGAGCTTTGCAGCTCCTTCAGGGTTATCTTTGGTCTCTTTGTTGCCACTCTGATTAATGCCCTTCTTGCCTGGTCTGTGAGTTTTGGTGGGCGGCCCTCTCTTGCAGGTTTGTTGTGGTGCCATATTCTTTCCATTTTTTAATAACCCAACCCTGATCTGTACTTCTCCACAACTTTGTCCCTGTTTGGAGAGCTCCTTGGTCTTCATGGTGCAGCTTGCTTGGTGGTGCCCCTTGCTTAGTGGTGTTGCAGACTCTGGGGCCTTTCAGAACAGGTGTATATATACTGAGATCATGTGACACTTAGATTGCACACAGGTGGACTTTATTTAACTAAATATGAGACTTCTGAAGGTAATTGGTTGCACCAAATCTTATTTAGGGGCTTCATAGCAAAGGGGGTGAATACATATGCATGCACCACTTTTCCGTTTTTTATTTTGTAGATTTCTTTTTAACAAGTTATTTTTTTTCATTTCACTTCACCAATTTGGACTGTTTTGTGTATGTCCATTATATTAAATCCACATAAAAATCCATTTAAATTACAGGTTGTAATGCAACAAAATAGGAAAAACTCCAAGGGGGATGAAATACTTTTGCAAGGCACTGTAGGCCTACAGACAGGTGTTCCATGCAGTTAACCTAGATGTTACTAGTGCTAGGGTGAAACCAGCATCGCGATACTCATTAGTATTGTGAAAAGGAAACTAAACCCAAAGCAGATTTTAACTTCAGGAAAACAGCCCTAATGTTGGACACAAACATCATTATGTTGTCATCCAGAGTCACATGTATTTATTTTCCAAGCTTTATCACACTATTTTACATACAGCAGGTTTTTAAAGGACCAAAGAGTTTGATCTGCGTCGTGTTGTCATTTTTGCCATGGAAAAAATATTGTGATACTGGTATCGTCCCTGCCCTAGATGTTACATGAACAGAAAGCATATAGACTTGAGTAGGTCTGACTCACTCAGTGTAGAAGTATAGTTAGATTAGAGTACAGTAGGATACATCAGAAAGCATATAGGCCTGATTAGGTCTGGGAGAGTGACCATATGAAGATGTTTGATGTATTGACCGAGAGGTGAGGTAGGGAGCTAGGAGTGTCACGGAGCAGTATTAGGGATGTTGTGTAACGTGCAATGTTGCTATTATTAGCCCTTAGACTAGAGCCGTGTGTTTGACTTGCTGTTTTTTCTCACAATGCTCAGCCAGACTTGACTTAGTGTACAGGAAGATGAAACTAACAGTGGAGACTGGAGGCTGTGTTACTGTTCTGTGAGTGGGAGCATATAAAGACTAACAAGATTTGCATGATACAGTAGCTGTGTAGTACTACTGTATCTGTGGATATATAGTATATTGATCATGCTTATATGGTTAGTTGACAAATAATAAGAAGAAATAGTTGTAGTGTTTGTATATGTTTCTGTGTTGTAGACACTGGTGTCTTAACAGTGTATGTCTGTGTGTCTCTGTTGTAGACCGACACTGTGGTGTCTCTAACAGTGTGTGTCTGTGTCTCTTCACAGGACTCCTCTTGGGGCGTCTCTGGATGAGCAGAGCAGCACTCAGTCCAAGGGTGAATTTCCCTCCTCTACTATAACACCAGTCATATGCTATACAACTGTAACTCTCAAATGGAAAAAGAGAATGTGTGTTAGTATATCTGTGGAGATGGTGTGTGGGTCAAGGGGGTGATTTTTGAGTATTCCGCAACTCACCTTCTCACCACACCTTGCAGCCCTAGTGAACTTTGGAGTGTACTGTAGCTGGCTCCTTTACACATCCACCCACACACCAGTTACCAGTTGGTAGCGTTCTCCAACTCTGTCGCTCAGGTCATCTTATTGTCCTTCTAAATCGAAGTAAGAAACAGAGCCAGGCACGATACGAGTGTCCTGAGCTAAAAAATAACAACATTTGGATTCCCTGCATTTGCTTTAACGTCTTCCTGGTAATGTGAAACTACATGGGCAGCTGGTGCTCTTTGATCAATGGCTATCTACAGTAGGTAACACTTACCAACCAGCCATGAAAGTACTTGACGGTAAATATTTGTCCTAACCAACTGTAAATATTTGTCATGGTTTGAAGCGTCTCTCTGTAGTAGGCTACTCTGTTTAAAATGTGTTCAGTTAACCATGCTCATTCTGTTTTACAGGCATGTGCAGGGTTTTGTTTGTGAATAGTTATTTAGTCTATTGTAGGGTACAAGTGCTGTCTGAGGGCTTAATGAAAGGTCTTCTCTGTACTTCACAGGAGTGATGAAGAATGGATGCAGCTTTGAAGATGACTTGTCTCTGGGAGCTGAGGGTGGGTGACTAGACTCTTGTGTGTCTCTCTCTGTGTGTCACTCTCTGTGTGTGTGTGTCTCTGTGTGTGTGTCTCTGTGTGTGTGTCTCTGTGTGTGTGTCTCTGTGTGTGTGTCTCTGTGTGTCACTAGAGCAATAGGACCTAGGATCACACCACTGCTACGGCAGTTTTACAATGCTTATGAGCTGTCTTGAGAGAGACTAGGGCTAAGTCCCAAATGGCACCCTAATCCCTATATAGTGCACTTCTGTCTGGGTCCTGGTCAAAAGTAGTGCTCTATATAGGCAATAGGGTGCCATTTGAGGCACGGCCTAGAAATCTGTGTGGCCAAACAATGATGAGCTGGAAGCTTCTTGTTGGAGTGCTTTGGCTCTTTAGTTTTTAGTAAAGCTGCATTAGTTCCATGGGAGTACACCTTGCTGAGACTGCTCTTTACGAGCGGACGGGCACATGACAAGGTTTCCCAGTCCAAAGGAAAGGAAAGGAGAGCGGTGTGTGATCAGATAGCGTATCTATCTCTCATTTCACCCGCTGAGTGACCTGCCTGTTGGTGGAGGAGTGAAGGGGAGAGTGGATCTATCTCAGTTTAAACTGTCTCAGATCTAAATAGGAACATACATTACATAAATTAGTTTTAATGTCCTCTGGCCCTGCTCTATAGGTATTCTCTACTCCCCCATGAGAACTGTCTAGTCTGTTCCTCTCAACACTTCCCTCTTCACATAGTTTTAGGCTTACCATGTATAGAGCAATGTCCTGTTGTGTCACTTGCAGACCTGGGTTCAAATAGTATTTCAAATCTTTCAAATACTTGTAGCGTTTGCTTTAGCCGCCTGGAGTGCCAGATGAGTTTGTGCTTTTGCTACAATTCCATTGGTTCCATTGCGCCAAGCGAGCTCAATCAAGCCAGCTAAAGTATTTGAAATGATTTCAGTAGTAGTATTTGAGCCCAGGTGTGGTCATTTGCACCACGTTGTTCATAGGAAGTGTTTTTGTGTTCGTCCCTTCGAAATGTGGATAGAGAGGACAGTTATACTTGCTAAATAGATTATTTGATACATACAATCAGACCTGTATGGAATGGCGTCGAGGCTCATTGATGGTAGTGCATGCTTGGTGCTGTCAAAGCTGTGACTAAACTACATATTTCTCATTCTTCCATTGAACAGCTGTAGTGATGTATGCACCCTAATGTGCTACTGTTTGTTGTTGGTCTCTTTGAGAGATGGGGTCAGTCAGGTTTTGTACTTGCCCGGATGGTTGCACACCACACATTACTATTGTGTTTGTGCAGACCAGAGACGGTGGGTGGTAGCTAGTGTGTTGTGTTGGGGTTGGCTCCTGTTATGGTCTGTTCTGACCTGCTTAGTCTCAGGGTGCGTCCCAAATGGCACCCTATTCCCTATATAGGTGTCTGGGCAAAACTAGTGCACTATGTAGGGAATAGGGTGCCATTTGGGACGTACAACACAGTGAAGCAAAGCAAAGGGACCTAGTCATACCTGAGATCAGTCTTCCATTGTGTCCATGTCATGCTACAAGTCTCAACAGGCACCTGTATGAGGGTCCTCCTTCCTTCTGGCTCCAATCCACTCGTTCAGTGAGTGGCAACAACTTACTGTTAACAGGCTAACACGCACAACAATAGTCATTCAATGGAAAAGCATACTTTGATGATTATCCTGCTCTTTGAGGCTGAAGAACCAGTTAGGCTGATTGAGTTTGTTCAGTTTCAGGCAGTTGACAGACAATGTGTACTCTCTGGTCTCTGTCTTCACCTGACCTGGGTTCAAGTACTATTAGAAATCGTTTAAATACTTTCAGCGTGTGATCTAGCCTGCCTGGAGTGCCAGATGGGCGGGGTTTACAGTTGTGGGGACGATTCTATTGGTCCATCAAGCCAAGCAAGCTCAACCAAGCACAAATAAAGTATTTGAAATGATTTTGAATAGTGTTTGATCCCAGCTCTGGTCTCCACACTAAGGCTTCTGGGGATTGCCTAGTCCTCAGTTTGCATTCTTTGTGTCACTAAGATGACCTGGAAGAAGCCATCAGACTGAGAGCAGGATTTTCTCCTGACAAATGAGGCCAGTCCAAACTTCAGGAGGACTCTCTCTGTCTCTACTGTACTCAAACCATAATTCTGTCATTATGTTCCTCGCTGTCTGAGGCTTTAGTTATTTTCTGCAAAAGCAAGTCATTCTGTTGTCCTTAATCGCAAATCCTTGATTTTCTTTTTTACAAAGGTAAACATTTGATGCTTTTATAGCCGTATTTTCGACAGTGTAAATAGATTGATTTTGACAGATGGACTTTGAAGAGAAATGAGGGAATCAGCAATTACTGTATATAGTCAGTTTACCAAAGCACCTGTATTCAACTCTATCTTCCTCCTTCCCCCCTCTTTCCCATCTTTCCTTCTCCCTCCCCTCTCTCTCTTTCTCTTTAACCTCCCTGCAGCCAACCACCTTCAGCCCAACAGTGCCAAAGCAGAGACACCCTGGTAAGTGAGACTGTGAGACCCCCCTTTATGCCATTGGCCACTCCTCACCCCCTCAGTCCTCACCCCCTCAGTTCATTCTTATGCAGTAGTCTTACTGCCTGTGGCTGTGGTGTGACTAGTGTACTGATCACTGCATGCCCACTCTGCTCTTCAGCTATGGAATGCCTGCGAAGGACAAGAGGAGCCAGTTCCGGCAGAAAGGCAGGAGTATGAACTCAACAGGATCAGGGAAGAGCAGCACCACTGTGTCCAGGTGAGCAGACAGGTAGACAGGCCCTGAGCCAAGAGCTGTGGATTGGGGATGACAATCCCTGTAACTGGGAAATTTCAGGTCAGGTCCCAAGAAAGACCGAACAGCAGACATATATAATAGATCAAGTTTAATACAATATTGGGGCTGACGTTAGCCAAAATGTTCTGAGTTTGAGGTACTCTGTTTAAGCTCAGGTTTTTCATTTGACTTAACCACACTAGCTACATAATTTGCTGTATAATGCCTTTATGTATGCTTTCGTACTTGGATACCTGTAATACTTAGCTATGCGTTTGTTTGTGTGTTCTATTCTATCCAGTGTGTCTGAGTTGTTGGACCTGTATGAAGAGGATCCAGAAGAGATCCTGTATAATCTGGGGTTCGGCCAGGAGGAGCCGGACATCGCCTCTAAGATCCCCCCGCGCTTCTTCAACAGCTCCTCCGGCGCTAAGGGCATTGACATCAAGGTCTATCTGGGAGCACAGCTACAACGCATGGAGATGGAGAACCCCAACTATGCCCTGACAAGTACAATCTTTCTTTACCTCACATTTTTTTGTACGCTTGATCTCTTCCTCTCTTTCTGTCGGTTTCTCTTGCGTCGTCTCTTTCTTTGTCTCTCGTTTTCGTTCTCTTGCTTTCTTTCTGTCTCTTTTTTTCCCTTCCCCTCTTTCTTCGAGCTGTGAAAACACTGTATGGCCTGAAAACACTGATCATATTGCTGTTCGCTGCCATAAAATGGTCCCGACAGACAACCATGTCCTGGCATGTATGTACATGCAGACCAACAGGTAGTGATGAAGGAATATGGAAATAATTAGTTGTGGTGAAGAGTGTCATCTGGAGGGCGACGCAGCGGGGGGATGGGTATGGTGGTGTGGTGGTGATGGTAGGTGGTGTAATGCATGATGGTGGTAGGGTTGGGGTGGGGTGGGTTATGGTTGGAATGGATTGTTGGGATGTGGTGGTGAGTTGGGGATAGTGATGGGGGAAAAATGTATACGGTTACATATCGCAATATTATTTTGGACGATAATATATCAATACTTTGACTCCCAAGTATCGATTTGTAATTTTAAAAAACTACAATTTCTAGGTAGCATTAGCTAGTGCTAGTCTGCTGTACCTACGCCAAAACTCTGGTATTTTTTATCCTGCAGCTTGTTCTCCACCTTTTTTAAAGAGTGATCAAAAATGTTTTCGGCACTTTTTTCCATGACTGATCAAAACTTTCTCAGACCTATAGTGAGCAATATGTTTGGAACATCAAATCGCAATAAAATCGTAGTATCGAATAGCATTACATATAGAATCGAGAAAAGCAACACGTATCGTATCGGCACCTAAGTATGGTGATAATATCGTATAGTGAGGTCCCTGGCAATTCCCAGCCCTAGTTACATGTAGGGGTAGTCTGGTAGCTTTGTAGGTGGTGTAATAATGAATGGCACACCATCAGTCAATGGGTTCCGTTCCCACCGAGCCATTGCATTGTGGGTAGATTTCTTGTTCTTCTCTTCTTCCTTTTGGCAGATTTAGCTTCTGTCTGCCAAACAAGTACATGTAGATCTGGGGGCCTGGGCTGGAAGCTGAGATGGAGAGAGTGAGGGCCCATTCCAGTGCAGCTGGGTGAACAGAGCCGCAGCACAAGGAAGCCTTTGTCTTCTATTGGGCAAACAGTGTGGTGAGCAGAGCGGCAGTGAGAGAGACAGGGTGCACCAAAGTAGTGCACTATATAGGGAATAGGGTGCCATTTAGCACACCCCCTGAGAGAGATGGATAGGAGGACCTGATTCTTCTCTGTATTCTGCTCACATCGGGCCTCACACACATTGGGCCTTGGTCTGTTCAGTCTGCCAGAGCACACAGCACCATGCACCGACCGCTTTACTCTTTATTAGCCCATATTAGCATAACTCTTGCTGTCGGAGACCGAGCTGTGTGTGTGTGAGTGTGAGTGTGTGTGTGTGTGTGTGTGTGAGTGAGAGATCTGAGTGGGGGACAAAGCAGCCGCTCTGCAGCCTGGCTGACTAGCCAGAGAGGAACAGGAGGGGGACAGAGAGGGAGTGGCCTCAGCCTTGTAACAGCACTCTTTTGTGTTGTCTTTAAACTGTTGGACTGAGGCCCAGTAAGCACTGTTGTTGTAGCAGCTCTCGAGTCAGTTTCATCTTCATCTGGTCTAGATTAGATGTTAAAAGGGGGGATGAGTATCTGTCTCTTCAATCCCTTTTGAAGTTTCACCCCTCCTTTAAGTTAATGTTTAGGAGTTTTTGTCTACCTTTTGAGTTGTTGTTGAGCTGCAGCAGCCCCACCACTAACTGGAGGTCCTGCTCTTTGTTTCATAACAGTGGACTGACTTGACTTAAAGCACACTGAGCACAGGCAACTTTGCAGGGATTTAGGAGTCGGAACTTCTAAGGGTTCTAGGGATCATAGATCAGTGAGCAAGGTTCAGGCTCTGGAATTTAGAATTTCCATGCTGCTGTCTGTTTCAGTGATGTTCCAGAATGTACTGCAGTTAGTAGCTCAAAGCCCTGGAACAGCTGTGCAGCCCTTCCCTCCTCCTCTTCAATGTCATGTTGATTTTTCTTATGTAAGTCCTGTTTTCTCTTCCTGAGAGCGTGCCTGGGGTTCTGACTGTGAGCAGCTAAAAGGGATGTGTCGCTCTCATAATAAATATAAAGGCCTTGTGAAGTTTTCACTTCCTATATCTGTCTTCTTCTGTGGTCTTATTCTGCGGAGTCAGCTGTGGTCAGGAATCAGGAAGAGACTGGGTTCTGGGCTCAGAGAGATAATGGCCAGAGGAAGTATTGGTTACTGACTTGTAGAAGTATATTAATCGCTTACATGCATGTGGAGGGGATACATATCATGGTGACTGACGTACTTAGTCACTCGGAATGTTGTGTTATGTCATTTATGACACTGTAAAAGTGGGTAGGTTTATTCTCTTGAATGTCACTGCGATGAAAGATCATGGGAATTATGGTTGCCCTGTGACATGCCTATCTGTGCCCATGGAGTTGGTCTTAACGGCAGGATGCAGCTTTTGCTTTCATCATCTTCCAAACTAACTACACCCATGATGATGGCTGAATCTGCTGCTATAAGAGGGGAAATATTCCCAGGCGTTCTGGGGACTAGCTAGCTAGAGCCTTTGGTCAAAAGACTCAGCAGGCCATTGTTGCTATTTTCTCATTCTTAGTTTCCTCTTTATCAAGTTTATCAAGTCTTATTCTTTCCCCAAAGGTTGTGTTTTAATCCTAGTTTCCTCTCTTTCTTTCCCCCCAAAGGTCGTTTCCGTCAGATCGAGGTCCTGACCACTGTGGCGAACGAGTTCTTCCATCTCTACTCCCAGGTCTCCGGCCAGTCCGTCCAGAAGATCTGCAGCCTGGATGGGGAACCCCTCACCATTGTCCCTCCTTCTCCTCTGAAGAGGAACAACTCAGCCCTGAACGCAGCCAAGATCCTGAAGAAGACGATCACTAAACACAACCTGCTGGGTGGGTTGGGGGAGGGGGGCTCTCCTAAAATCACAGCCCTGTCTACTACAGAGAAACTGGAAGACCATGTGAATCCAGGTACAGGGGACAGCGCCGTCATAACTGACTCCGACCACAAGGGTGAGCTCAAGCAGAAGGCCTTTAGGAAGAAGGACTCTCCATCTCTAGCCACGGTGACTGAGGAGAGCCAATCTGGAGGCAGCACTGAGGCCCCCCTGAGCGTCAACGGAGACCACCCTGGAGTGAATGGAGACCACCCTGGAGTGAATGGAGATGGCCAAGCATTGACCCAGGAGGGTGAGTTGAGCCTGTCCAACGAGGCCGACTTGGAGAAAGAGCACCAGGACATCCAACTGAAGGGACAGCGAGCAATCACATCAACGCCAGACAAGGAACCGAACTACAGCCTGCTGCCCAACCCTCACATCGCCCACCTCCGCACACAGACCAAGGACTCCTTTGAGATGGAAGAGGTAGGGCCATACTCACACAAGGGTTGAGGTGGGGTTCAATTATTGGCTTAGTTGTACTGTTCTCCTGCTCTTCCAGTTCAGTATAAGTTTTGACTGCACAAAGAAGGTTGGGGAGAGGGGGTTCAATTCTAGGCTTAGCAGTATTGTCCTCCCAGTTTGAGATGGAGGTAGGATCGTCCGCACAAACACAGGGTTGAGGAGAGTGGTTACATTCTTGGCTGAGCTTAGTTATACTGCCCTCTCAGTTCAATGGAAGTTTTGTTTTGTTTTGTTTGGGGTTGCTTACAGGGTTTGAGAAGGGGGTTCAATTCTGATCGTAGTACTGCCCTCCGTTCAATACAAAGTAGTGTTTTCTTAGCTTTCATCTCTTGGTTCTCAGACTGGTGAGTTTCCCACAATCCTGGTTTTAGCTGTCCTAGCAGATATTGTGAGAAAAGCGAAGGACACGAACTCCAGCTTATAAATAAGTTAGAACTGTAAGAGAGAGCATATGGAGGACCCTGTAGGGTAAGTTATTATTGTGGCTTGATTGGCAGTTTTCCCCCTTCCTCTCTCCAGATCTTACAGAACAGGGTTGTTATAGTTACGGTAACTGGAAGGGGGTGTATGTATCAGAAGTGTGTCAGTGTAGAAATGCCCTTAGGGGGAAAAAAGGCACAGCTCACTCTTCAAGTTTAAAATATGACTTGTTTAAAATCATTGCGACCTGTTGGAATTCATCTAAAAAATAATAGTGTAGAAATTGCCCCAAAGTTTTTTTCTATCTTTGTTTTCTTTCTGTCTCTGTCACTGTGTCTCTGTCTATCGTTCAGGTTCAGAGTAATGAGGATGAGGCTGGCACACACAGCAGCTCTAGAGCTGGCAGAGGTGAGTCTGGCCTGCATATTATATGCCTTGTAACACAGTATAGAGGCTCATACATGCTTATAACAAATCATAAAGCATTATACCTTTTTAACTGGATGTAAAGTGTTACTGACCTTTCCATAGTGGATATCCACTAATATGAAAAATCACGTTATTACATTAAAAAAAATATGTTCTCTGCTTCGTCAGTAGAATTAGTTAACTTGTCATAATCACCCATCTCTCAAATATTCAATAACATTTTGTGACTTATGGCAGGTAATTAAATACCTAAGGTAATTTTCTAACTTGAGTGTACTCTGATGAAATGTTCCATAGTGGCCTTTTAGACTAAAAAAGCCTTATAGAAAAAAAGACACTATCCTGTCCAGTTTTGTCTACCGATAACTAATTGTAGCATAAGTTTTAGATTAGTGAAGTCAGGGAAGAAGAGGGCTGATATTTAGGGATGCATCTTGAGTATGGTGATTGAATTATGTTTAATTTAGCTTTTATTTCTAAGAACATTGGTACTTAGAACACATGGACCCATGACAATCCATTAAAAGTGAGTGACCCATCTAAAACAGAGGGCCGTTTGTAGAGAAAAACCTTGTATAACAACTAAGCATATTTCTTTTCCGACTGACCATGATAATCTATTAGAACATAGAGCCTCAGGGGTGTGCTTTTTAGGGAATCACTATACTCCAGACCACACTATTTACCAAGCGTTTTCATCTATATTTTTTGTAGCTGTCTATTCACCACCACAAACCGATGCTGGCACTAAGACCGCATTCAACGAGCTGTATGCCATAAGCAAACAAGACAATGCTCATCCAGAGGCGGCGCGCCTAGTGGCCGGGGACTTTAATGCAGGGAAACTTAAATCAATTTTACCTAATTTCTACCAGCATGTGCAACCAGAGGGGAAATAAAAATCTAGACCACCTTTACTCCACACACAGAGATGCGTACAAAGCTCTCCCTCGCCCTCCATTTGGCAAATCTGACCATAATTCTATCCTCCTTATTCCTGCTTACAAGCAAAAACTAAAGCAGGAAGTACCAGTGACTCGCTCAATACGGAAGTGGTCAGATGACGCAGATGCTAAGCTACAGGACTGTTTTGCTAGCACAGACTGGAATATGTTCCGGGATTCATCCGATGGCATTGAGGAGTACACCACCTCAGTCACCGGCTTCATCAATAAGTGCATCGATGATGTCATCCCCACAGTGACCGTACGTACATACCCCAACCAGAAGCCATGAATTACTGGCAACATCCGCACTGAGCTACAGGGTAGAGCTACCGCTTTCAAGGAGTGGGACTCTAACCCGGACGCTTATAAGAAATCCCGCTATGCCTTCCGACGAACCATCAAACAGGCAAAGAGTCAATACAGGACTAAGATTGAATCCTACTACACTGGCTTTGACGCTCGTCGGATGTGGCAGGGCTTGCAAACTGTTACAGACTACAAAGGGAAGCCCAGCTGCGAGCTGCCCAGTGACACGAGCCTACCAGACGAGCTAAATGACTTCTATGCGCACTTCAAGGCAAGCAACACTGAAGCATGCATGAGAGCACCAGCTGTTCCTGATGACTCTGTGATCACACTCGCCGTAGCCGATGTGAGTAAGACCTTTTAAACAGGTCAACATTCACAAGGCCGCAGGGCCAGACGGATTACCAGGACTTGTACTCCGAGCATGCGGTGACCAATTGGCAAGTGTCTTCACTGACATTTTCAACCTGTCCCTGGCTGAGTCTAATACCTACATGTTTCAAGCAGACCACCATAGTCCCTGTGCCCAAGAACACCAAGGTAATCTGCCTAAATGACTACCGACCCGTAGTACTCACATCTGTAGCCATGAAGTGCTTTGAAAGGCTGGTCATGGATCAACACCATTATCCCAGAAACCCTAGACCCACTCCAATTTGCATACCACCCCAACAGATCCACAGATGATGCAATCTCTATTGTACTCAACACTGCCCTTTCCCACCTGGACAAAAGGAACACCTACGTGAGATACAGTTCAGCGTTCAACTCCATAGTGCCCTTAACGCTCATCACTAAGCTAAGGACCCTGGGACTAAACACCTCTGACTGTTCTCTCTGCTACCGCACGGCAAGCGGTACTGGAGCGCCAAGTCTAGGTCCAAAAGGCTTCTGAACAGCTTCTACGCCAAAAGAAGCCATATGACTGCTGAACAGCTAATCAAATGGCTACCCGGACTATTTGCATTGACCCCCTCCCCTGCTGCTACTTGCTGTTTATTATCTATGCATAGTCACTTTACCCCTACATACAGGTACATATTACCTCAATTACCTAGACTAACCTGTACCCCCGCACATTGACTCGGTACCGGTACCCCCTTTTATATAGCCTCGTTATTGTTATTTTATTGTTGCTGTTTTTGTTTGTTTTTTTAACTTTAGTTTATTTAGTAAATATTTTCTTAACTCTTATTTTTCGTAACTGCGTTGTTGGTTAAGGGCTTGTAAGTAAGCATTTCAAGGTAAGGTCTACTACACCTGTTGTATTCGGCGCATGTGACATAAGATTTGATTTGACATGGAGCTGATCAAGTCTGCCCTCTGGTGGGGAACTTTTTCAAATTTGTGTATAATACAAGTTTTATAGAGGAAAGTGTGTTATCTCACTGTGTTGCAAAGATACTGATGGAACACATGTTTGACTCTACAATGTGAAATGTTTAATTATTTGTTTTGTTTAAACCCAGATTGATGGTCCTTCTTACACTCTGACATCTTCCTCTCTCTGTCTTTCTCTCTCACTTTCTGTCTCTCTCCCTCTGTCCATTACAGATCAACTACTAAGAACAGGCAGCCAGCAGTCAGACAGTAGTGGCTTTGCAGAGGACCCTTCTACTGACAGCTCAGCTAACTATCTAAAGGTACAGGAGAGCTCTGACAGCTGTGACAGTGAGACCACAGTGACGTCCCACGCTGGGGAGATGACCACTCCTCTAGCCCTGGAACACCCTGCCTTTGAGAGGCTGCATGGGGAGGATGAGCAGGAGGAGGAGGTGGCGCAGACGCCCTCCGTCCCACAGAAACACCTCATGGAGGACGGGAGGAGGAGCAGTAGCCCTAATGGAGCAGAGGAGCAACAGGAGGTGCCACAGTACACCACCCATCAGTTACCTAAACAAGGAGACCGAGAGGTAGCCCAAGACCAGAAGCATAGCACTGCTGAGGAAGCTGCTTCTGTTCCTGCCTCTGAGACTCCTCAGTCAACTCCTGAGACTTACCGTACTGCTGAGACTAACGTAGAGGCTGATCCTGGTTCTACAGAAGACCATGGCTCCGTCCCGGCCCCAGACTGCAGCTCCTCTGGTGCCCCAGCCAGGGAGGGTGTGCCTGACAGGGTGGAGATGGAAGCCAGACCACCCAGCCCTAGCCCCAGCTGCCCTAGCCTAGGTGCCTCAGCCAGAGTCCAAGGGGCCCTTCACAGGGCCCAGCAGAGGGCCTCGTCCTCAGGCCTCCAGGGTCACCGGATGGAGGGGAAGTTGACAGCCAGGGATCTGTTCAGGAGAAGAGCCCCCCTGACGAGGTCCCGATCCCTGCCTACCTCCCTCCTCAGCCCCTCCCGTGTGGTCTCCTCTGTCAGGATCCAGTTTGGCCAGGGTGCAGTCAGGCACTGCACCCAGCCAGCCTTCTCCTACCGATACACCCCAGAAGAGGAAGAGGAGGAGGAGGAGGAGGGGTCCATTGTGGAAGAGGAGGAGGTTGTGGAGGATGAGGGTCAGAGGAGAGACAGCTGTCGCTCTACCTTGATTATCAACAGAGGGACCGAGCTATCACATGGCCCCGGGCTACAAAGAGATGGTGAGCTGAGAAATCTTCAAGGCAGGGTGCCCCCTTACCCCCTGGCCATCCCTCGCCACCTGACCCGCTCAACCATCTCACTGCACAGCCACAGCCCCCCTCCTGAGTGGGGAGAGAGGCCTCTGGGGGAGCATCACCGTGCCTGGAGCACCTGTAGCGTACCTAACCTCACCCAACGTAACCTGGCCCACTTCAATAACCCTAACCTCACTCAGCACAGCAACCCTAACTCCAACCTAACACAGCACTACCTAGCCCAACACAATAAACCTATCCTTACTCAACACAACCTTGCTCAGCACAACACCCCTAACCCAGCCCAGTACAACCTTTCTCTGCCCCATGGCAGTGTCCCCAACCTGTTCCAGTATCACCCCTCCACCCACCACCACCACACCCTCCATAGCCTCCCTACCCATCCATACGGTAGTGTACCTAACCTTCCCCTGCACACAGCTCCCACCTTACCCCATCATATGGCCCCTAACCGTCCTCCCTATGGTGCTCCTTACACTAACAACATGGGTAACACCCTTCCACACAACTTCCCACATGGCACACACTTCCCCTATTCCCCGTACAGCTCCTCCTGTAACACCCCGCCCCATAGTGCCCCCTTCAGTTCAACTTACCATAACTACAACGGTAACCCCTATAGTGGGTCCTACGACGACCTACACAGCAACAATCCTTATACTGCTCATAGTGCTTACTCGAACCCGTCACACACACCTTCCAACCTGCCTCCACATCTCTCTACTGCCCCCTATGGAGGACCATACAGTACTCCATACTTGGGCCACCACCCTCCAATCCCCTACCCCCATGACCCTATGGCTACAGCCTCCCGTCTTCCCCCAGTCCTGTCTACCACTGAGATGCAACTGAGAAGGGTCCTTCACGACATCAGAGGAACTGTGCAGAACTTAGCTCAGGTGAGACAAAATAACCACAAATGATAGAGGTGCTATACAACTTTTTGCAAGACTCTTTGCAGTTTTAACTAGTCTCTTAGTTTACTTTCTGACATGAGCCCTATAATGATTAAGCTTCTCCTGTTTCACTTTCCATCCCACCCATAATGCAAACAGACGTTTGCAACACAGTTTGTTCATCAGTGACTAAGTATTTTATCTGTGGTTTCTCTGCCCTCAAGAATTCATCAGAACGTGGAGCAGACACTCCCTCAGACGTGTTCAACCCACAGAGACCTGCCCAGCCACTGTTTGAGGTATACACTCACCTGAACTGCCACTCTTAAACAAATTAAATGAATGATTACCAAGACAAATATCTGTGTCTCTGTGACTATAGACAATAAAGTAATCTTCTTCTGCATCCCCTCAGACTTCACTCCAGGAGCTGCAGGCTAAGAGGAGGAGTCTAAATGTGTTCCGGACCCAGATGATGGATCTGGAACTGTCCCTGATTAAACAACAGGCGTTAGTCTACCAGCACCTCAGTCACGACGAGAGGTAGGCTAGAGGCCCTCACGCTGGCGAGGACCCGGATGTTGAGGTAGTCTGTGATAGGCAGACAGGCAGACAGTGTTAACAGTGGTCTCTCTGTTTGTGGTTGCCAGGCGGGAGGCGGAGCAGCTGCAGGGTCTACGGTCTGAAGTGAGACAGGAGCTGCAGGAACTAGAGCTCCAGCTGGAGGATCGGCTGCTGACCCTGAACGAACAGCTCCGCTCTGCCAGCCACCACAGCCTCTACCGCCACCGCATGGTCAGTACCTGGAACTACATCTGGAAACGCAGACAAACACACACACACAGACGGATATCATCTTTCTCTCGTGACTCCTAAACCTGTTTGATAAATGGTTTGTCATGACTCCGTTTGCCCGTGGCACCAGTTCTGTGTTCTGCTCATATTACATGACATCAGGCTACATGTACGTCACTACTCTTGTGTTTGTAGTTTAGCCACCTATCATCACCGACCCCTCCTCTCCTGTAATGTAACATTAGTATTGTCGATATTTCTCTCTCTTTTCTCCTGTAGGGTATGATGAGAGGTCACAGCATGGACAGCCTGTCTAACAGTTCTGCTCTGAGAGCTATGGAGCCGGTAAGTACCTGCATTGACTCTGGGCTGTTCTTTTCTAGGTCATTCCTCTTGAAAAGGAATGTCTGTTCTAGTTATTCTAATTGTATGGTTCTACTATTGTTAGTCCCGTGTAGCTCAGTTGGTAGAGCATGGCGCTTGCAACGCCAGGGTTGTGGGTTCGTTTCCCACGGGGGACCAGTCTGAAAATGTATGCACTCACTAACGCTCTGGATAAGAGCGTCTGCTAAATGACTAAAATGTAAAATGTTACACTTCTCTTTCCTCACTGTGTGACAGGTATGTTGTGGTTTGTGTGGTTTCTCCCTCCAGATGTCGGACCTGCTGAGGGAGCAGCTGTACCTGCAGACAGAGCTGGGCTACGAGGGCGGGGCAGAGAGCAGAGCTAGCATGGCCCCCACCCCCAGCTCAGGCCGCTCCTCCAGGTCAGCTAGTCCAATGATGTCCTCTGGATGTCACCCTGGCCCCTCCCACACCCCGGAGCTGTCCCTCCCAGGTCCCCAGAAGACGGGGATGTACCGGGCTTCCGTCTCCCTCACCCCGGCACCCCCTCCACGGCCTGGTGCTGCCACAGGGGTCCCCCAGTCCTCAGACCAGGCACTGCCAGTGCAAGGTCCTGAAGACAGAGCTGGAGGAGAGGAGGTTGTTGGAGGAGGGAGAGTAGCTGTAGACCCCCACCTACTGGAGGAGAGTGGCAGAGAGAGAGGAGGAGGACTAGGAGGAGGAAGAGCAGACAACCCCCATCTACAGCAGCTCATCAAGGAGGTTAGTAGAGAACATTAAGAAGTGTCCTTAGCTGAACTTCCCAAATTGACCTTGACAATATTTGTTTGAAGTTGAATAGGGAATGCCAATATTGCCCAAATGCCCAAGACATGTTTTATTATGTCCTTGGCTGATATGGATAGAAACGTCATGTTTTCTGCTGACAGACGAGGTGATTACGTAGCTATTGACAGACTGTTCCGCTCATGAAAAATAATTCACTGGTCTGATTTAAGAGCTTGGCAGGGGACAAATGGAGCACATTTTGAAGGTCCAAAAGGAAACTTGGAACCCATTAGGAACATTTGAATCCTGTTGGCTACGTCTTAGGACTACATCTTAGCCATGTGGGCTGATGTCGCTGTCTGGCACGGTCCCAGTACTTCTGAGGGATGAGAGATGTTCTTTCTCTGTTTGACACCTCTTTCTGTTCCTAGTATTCAGTGAGGTGAAACTTTCAGAACATTGCAGATAGAAATGTAATAAATAGCGCAGTGTTCCATTACATCCGTACCTTCCGGTGGTTTCCGAGCTGGTCATGGGTGCACCCCAGCCACACTCAAGGTCCTAAACGATATTATAACCACGATCGATAATAGACAGTACTGTGCAGCCGTCTTCATCGACCTGGCCAAGGCTTTCGACTCTGTCAACCACCGCATTCTTATTGGCAGACTAAATAGCCTTGGTTTCTCAAATGACTGCCTCGCCTGGTTCACCAACTACTTCTCAGATAGAGTTCAATGTGTCAAATCGGAGGGCCTGTTGTCTGGACCTATGGCAGTCTCTATGGGGGTGCCACAGGGTTTAATTCTTGGGCCGACTCTTTTCTCCGTGTATATCAATGATGTCGCTCTTGCTGCTGGTGACTCTCAGATCCACCTCTACGCAGACGACACCATTTTGTATACATCTGGCCCTTCATTGGACACTGTGTTAACAAACCTCCAAACGAGCTTCAATACCATACAACACTCCTTCAGTAGCCTCCAACTGCTCTTAAACACTAGTAAAACTAAATGCATGCTCTTCAATCGAACGCTGCTCGGTCCCCCCCACTACTCTCGACGGGTCTGACCTAGAGTATGTGGACAACTACAAATACCTAGGTGTCTGGTTAGACTGTAAACTCTCCTTCCAGACTCACATAAAGAATCTCCAATCCAAAGTAAAATCTAGAATCGGCTTCCTATTTCGCAACAAAGCCTCCTTCACTCATGCTGCCAAACATGCCCTCGTAAAACTGACTATCCTACCGATCCTTGACTTCGGCGACGTCATTTACAAAATAGCCTCCAACACTCTAATCAGCAAATTGGATGTAGTCTATCACAGTGCCATCCGTTTTGTCACCAAAGCCCCATATACTACCCACCACTGTGACCTGTACGCTCTTGTTGGCTGGTCCTCACTACATATTCGTCGCCAAACCCACTGGCTCCAGGCCATCTATAAATCACTGCTAGGCAAATCCCTGCCTTATCTTAGCTCATTGGTCACCATAGCAACACCCACCCGTAGTATGCGCTCCAGCAGGTATATCTCACTGGTCATCCCCAAAGCCAACAACTCCTTTGGCCGCCATTCCTTCCAGTTCTCTGCTGCCAATGACTGGAACGAATTGCAAAAATCTCTGAAGCTGGAGACTCTTATTTCCCTCACTAACTTTAAGCATCAGTTGTCAGAGCACCTTACCGATCACTGCACCTGTACACAGCCCATCTGTAATTAGCCCGCCCAACTACCTCATCCCCATATTGTTATTTATTTTGCTCATTTGCACCCCAGTATCTCTATTTGCACATAATCTCTTGCACATCTATCATTCCAGTGTTAATACTAATTGTAATTATTTTGCACTATAGCCTATTTATTGCCTTACCTCCATAACTTGCTACATTTGCACACACTGTATATATATTTTCTGTTGTATTTTTGACTTTATGTTTTGTTTACCCCATATGTAACTCTGTTGTTTTTATCGCTTTGCTTTGCTTTATCTTGGCCAGGTCACAGTTGTAAATGAGAACTTGTTCTCAACTGGCTTACCCGGTTAAATAAAGGTTAAATAAAAACTTTTTAAAAAATTGTTTGTTAATATATCGAACCTACAGGAAATTGACTTTTCTCTAGTTTCCTTGAATTGTATTTTGAGTGAACATAGTATTTGTGTGTTTGAACATCGTTCCGTCTCTGTACCTTCTCTCCCCACTTTAGATTAAAGAGAGTCTAGCTGATGAGATCCGACAGGAGATAGTCAACGAGCTCCTAGCTGCCGTATCTCCACGACGATCACCTGTGTCGACCAGAGAATATCCCCTGTGAACATGACGACAGGTCCTATATCATTAATTCATTAGTTGTATAAATCGGTCCTTCGAGCCGGATCGACCTGTTCTGATTCAACCTATAGCCCTTGGCTGGTGTCTCTATTTCTATAAGGATGTTGTTGTTTTCCCCTGCAGTTGAACACTGATGAGGCCTGGTGAAGTCTACCCAAACTGAACACTGGTGAAGCCATGCACTGAACAGCCCAAAAACCCCTTAACACTGTTTCTACTATTTCCAGAGATAATGGCAGATACGTTAACACTGTGTTTCTACCATAGAAATCTAATAATATTTTTATGGTTTCTACTTCAGAGTGTGACGGTGGCTGGTGCCTTAACACCCGTATGCCTGGTGACCTGGGAGACACATTATGCTGTATATTTGCTTTTATAGTGAACTCTTCTGTCTTAACGGTCCTATTTCAAACACAGAATGCTACTTTGTGTTTATTTAGCTGTAGACTGTAATTATCTGTTGTAAAAAAAAAACAGGGGGGAAGGGGCATGGGAACGTTAACCCAAAATGAAATAATTTAGACATGTAGAAATGTGTTTAAGGTTAATTCTATGACTTTTTTCCAATTCCACCCTGGTTGCCTGTGACGTTATGTTACGTTAGGCCTATGCTATGATCCTGACATTGTGTATGGGTTGTATTTAAGCATGTAGATGTGGGTCAGAGTGCATGTCTTGTTCTGAAGGTGAAAGGTGACCAAGGTTGAAGAGACTTAAGGCCTGGTAGATGATGATAATGGTTGTATGGGAGTTTAGTGTCTGCTGTAAATGACCATGCCCTCTACTAATGCAACCTCTATGAGGAATGAACTAGACCTGGGTTCAAATACTATTTGAAATCTTTGAAATACTTTAAGCGTTTGCTCTTGCCTGCCTGGAGTGTCAGATGGGCAGGGTTTACTGTTTTGGGACTATTCTATTAGTTAATTAATCCAGGCATGCTCAGATAAAGTATTTGAACCCAGGTCTGGAACTAACTAACTGTGCAATACATTTCACTGTCTCTGAACTTGAAAATATCAATAGTAGAAACTACTGTTTTTGAAACACACCACTTGAAGATAAGGGTATGCATTATATTAATTCCACACTTTTGTCCTTGGTCGTGTTCATTAGGGTAACAATGGAAAACATTTTAAAGCATTTTTCAATGGAATGAAAGTTTTTCTTATTGGACCAATAAGTCCAGTTAGTCTCTCCCTGTTTCAGTCCATTTTCCTCCGTTTGGTGGTTAATGAATCCGACCCAGATGTACGCATTTTTGTTAGAGAACTGTCTCACGTGAAAAACAAACAAAAAAACTTTCACATTCCTAACTGTATTTCTTATCTTTAAACAGATGTTAAAACCACTAAATGTATTTGTCCTGGTATATTTTCTTTAAAGGAATGCGGAAAGAGAGATAAGAGACAGACTGCTGTCTTGAACTGGAGAGTAGAATGAACCGTCTATCTCATCTGATAGACTCTGGTAGAACTATCAATAGAGCCTATTGTTCACTCTCATACTTATGGACAGAATCATTGTGTATTTATAAGTATATTATATTTCAAATGTGAGGATTATGACGTATTTTCCTGCTGTATTTGTAATTATCAGATGAAACACAGACATTTATTTTACCACAGATGTTTAATTATATTGTATTCCAAAATGATTTATTGTTACTAACTGACTTATTTTCATATGTGGCTACTTCCTACTAATGGAGAGCATATTTTTAATGGGATTTTGGTGGTGTTTACCTTTGTCTTGGGATGCATGAGGGATGATCTCTATAGCAAATAATAAAGATATATTTATTTTCAATAGATTTGGAGTGGTTTTATTTGTGGTGTATTTTTGTTTTTAAATAGCTTTTCAGCAGATTGCATCTGGGATTGGGATTCTAAAAGGTATTTTGAAAGCATGGGACGTTTCCAAATATAGAAAATGTATAGAGCCAAATACACTGCTCAAAAAAATAAAGGGAACACTTAAACAACACATCCTAGATCTGAATGAATGAAATAATCTTATTAAATACTTTTTTCTTTACATAGTTGAATGTGCTGACAACAAAATCACACAAAAATGATCAATGGAAATCAAATTTATCAACCCATGGAGGTCTGGATTTGGAGTCACACTCAAAATTAAAGTAGAAAACCACACTACAGGCTGATCCAACTTTGATGTAATGTCCTTAAAACAAGTCAAAATGAGTCTCAGTAGTGTGTGTGGCCTCCACGTGCCTGTATGACCTCCCTACAACGCCTGGGCATGCTCTTGATGAGGTGGCGGATGGTCTCCTGAGGGATCTCCTCCCAGACCTGGACTAAAGCATCCGCCAACTCCTGGACAGTCTGTGGTGCAACGTGGCGTTGGTGGATGGAGCGAGACATGATGTCCCAGATGTGCTCAATTGGATTCAGGTCTGGGGAACGGGCGGGCCAGTCCATAGCATCAAAGGTCCTGCTGCTGGGTTGTTGCCCTCCTACGGCCTCTTCCACGTCTCCTGATGTACTGGCCTGTCTCCTGGTAGCGCCTCCATGCTCTGGACACTACGCTGACAGACACAGCAAACCTTCTTGCCACAGCTCGCATTGATGTGCCATCCTGGATGAGCTGCACTACCTGAGCCACTTGTGTGGGTGTAGACTCCGTCTCATGCTACCACTAGAGTGAAAGCACCGCCAGCATTCAAAAGTGACCAAAACATCAGCCAGGAAGCATAGGAACTGAGAAGTGGTCTGTGGTCACCACCTGCAGAACCACTTCTTTATTGGCGGTGTCTTGCTAATTGCCTATAATTTCCACCTGTTTTCTATTCCATTTGCACAACAGCATGTGAAATTTGTCAATCAGTGTTGCTTCCTAAGTGGACAGTTTGATTTCACAGAAGTGTGATTGTTTTCATAGTGCGCTCCTCTGTTCAGCGTCCATCTCAGAAATTCTTGTTTGACTGAAAATAAAACCACTTTAATTTGATAGCAGAGAAATCCAATGTAACCTGTGATCACCATGGTAAGCTGGCTCTGTGCAAGAGAGGGCATATTGTAGGGCTGTCAGGTGGGTTGTGGGTAAAAATAGTGTTCTGGGATTTGATACAGGGGACCAGGCTATTGTACCAGTGGTTCTAGAATGAGAGGTCTGAACAGAGGAGAATGAACCGCTGATAAGAGGTGGTCGTTGGAAGTTTACATACACATTCCATTAAGGGATTCAATGACGTTTCTCAATAGATAGTACAAGTACATCAAAACCCCTCTTTTCCAAAGCTCTTTTTTTATTTCACCACTATTTTCCAAATGTAATGCACCCTCCTTGACAAGGACACTGATTTTCTAGGTACAGATTAATTCTGAACGACCTCCTGCATTCTTGTTTACCTGGGTAACAAAAAACAGTGTGATTTTCCACATCCAACATGGTCTTGTGTGACAGAGCGGTGGAAGTAATGGACCTGTATGCCCTCTGTTCCATCAGTGACTCTCTCTCTCTCTCGCCCTCTCAATTTCAATTCAATTTAAGGGCTTTATTGGCATGGGAAACGTGTGTTAACATTGCCAAAGCAAGTGAAGTAGATAGTAAACAAAAGTGAAATCAACAATAAATATTAACAGTAAACATTACACTCAGAAGTTTCAAAAGAATAAAGACATTTCAAATGTCATATTATGTATATATACAGTGTTGTAACAATGTGCAAATAGTTAAAGTACAAATGGGAAAATAAATAAACATAAGTATGGGTTGTATTTACAATGGTGTTTGTTCTTCACTGGTTGCCCTTTTCTTGTGGCAACAGGTCACAAATCTTGCAGCTGTGATGGCACACTGTGGTTTTTCACCCAGTAGATAAGGGAGTTTATCAAAATTGGGTTTGTTTTCGAATTCTTTGTGGATCGCTGTAATCTGAGGGAAATATGTGTCTCTAATATGGTCATACATTTGGCAGGAGGTTAGGAAGTGCAGCTCAGTTTCCACCTCATTTTGTGGGCAGTGTGCACATAGCCTGTCTTCTCTTGAGAGCCAGGTCTGCCTACGGCGGCCTTTCTCGATAGCAAGGCTATGCTCACTGAGTCTGTACATAGTCAAAGCTTTCCTTAAATTTGGGTCAGTCACAGTGGTCAGGTATTCTGCCACTATGTACTCTCTGTTTAGGGCCAAATAGCATTCTAGTTTGCTCTGTTTTTTTGTTTGTTATTTCCAATATGTCAAGTAATTCTCTTTTTGTTTTCTCATGATTTGGTTGGGTCTAATTGTGTTGTTGTTGTTGTTGTTGTTGTCCTGGGGCTGTGTGGGGTCTGTTTGTGAACAGAGCCCCAGGACAAGCTTACTTAGGGGACTTCTCCAAGTTCATCTCTCTCTCTCTCTCTCTCTCTCTCATCTCACACCCTCTCCTACATCCAAACACACACAAGGAGGCCAGTGTGTTAGTAAAGACTTGTTGTCCTGGCTAGGTCCAGTGAAGGAGAGACACTGATTCATGTTTCGTTAATCTGGAAAGCTTCCCAATGATAGCGGATGACTCAACACACCTAGACTTGATGTTTCCGGTGTTTACCAATGATGTATGGATATCTCTATGGTGTAGGCACTAGTACTGAATGCATGTAATCTATGTATTTAGTAAGCACAGCCACAGCCTAACGTGCAGATGACGCAACGATCCTATGTTATATCCAGTCTGGACAGCCTAGCGGTTAGTGTTGGGCCAGTAACCGAAATGTTGCTAGTTCGAATACCTGGGTCAACAAGGTGAAAAATCTGTCGATGTACTACTATGGCTGACCCTGCAAAACAACCCATTTCACTGCACCCATCTGGTGTATGTAACATACACTGCGCATTAGTGTAGCCTAACTGAAACAGTGGCTTTATATACACTGCTCAAAAAAATTAAGGGAACACTTAAACAACACAATGTAACTCCAAGTAAATCACACTTCTGTGAAATCAAACTGTCCACTTAGGAAGCAACACTGATTGACAATCAATTTCACATGCTGTTGTGCAAATGGAATAGACAACAGGTGGAAATTATAGGCAATTAGCAAGACACCCCCAATAAAGGACTGGTTTTGCAGGTGGTGACCACAGACCACTTCTCAGTTCCTATGCTTCCTGGCTGATGTTTTGGTCACTTTTGAATGCTGGCGGTGCTTTCACTCTAGTGGTAGCATGAGACGGAGTCTACAACCCACACAAGTGGCTCAGGTAGTGCAGCTCATCCAGGATGGCACATCAATGCGAGCTGTGGCAAGAAGGTTTGCTGTGTCTGTCAGCGTAGTGTCCAGAGCATGGAGGCGCTACCAGGAGACAGGCCAGTACATCAGGAGACGTGGAGGAGGCCGTAGGAGGGCAACAACCCAGCAGCAGGACTGCTACCTCCGCCTTTGTGCAAGGAGGAGCAGGAGGAGCACTGCCAGAGCCCTGCAAAATGACCTCCAGCAGGCCACAAATGTGCATGTGTCTGCTCAAACGGTCAGAAACAGACTCCATGAGGGTGCTATGAGGGCCCGACGTCCACAGGTGGGGGTTGTGCTTACAGCCCAACACCGTGCAGGACGTTTGGCATTTGCCAGAGAACACCAAGATTGGCAAATTCGCCACTGGCGCCCTGTGCTCTTCACAGATGAAAGCAGGTTCACACTGAGCACATGTGACAGACGTGACAGAGTCTGGAGACGCCGTGGAGAACGTTCTGCTGCCTGCAACATCCTCCAGCATGACCGGTTTGGCGGTGGGTCAGTCACGGTGTGGGGTGTCATTTCTTTGGGGGGCCGCACCGCCCTCCATGTGCTCGCCAGAGGTAGCCTGACTGCCATTAGGTACCGAGATGAGATCCTCA